TAGGGTTTCGAACATGGAGCGTAGTCTTAGTGCTGAGTACTATCCTCAAAGGGATCAAGTTTCCTCCCTACAAAGATCATCTCAAAACCTTGACAACTGCCCTTCGGGCTGCCACGGGCCGCAACTTCGGGCGCTCAAAGTCAGCCATGGGAAGAGACGTCAACAACAAGGTCTTTTGAAGAGGCGCCAAGGGGATGGGCATGGTTTCAACTGCAACTTGGTTGGTCGTGCTGAGCAATGGCATGGACTTGAAGGAGATCCGATTGAGGACTTCTCTGTTGAGGACCTTGGGCTCGAGCCGCCAACTGAGGTTTTGGGTGCCGGGCGACACGCCATGGAGAGCACGGCGAGGTCGTCAGGGAGTTCGGCAACAGGAACTTCTTCACTGCCGGCTTCGAGGGCAACCAAGGGAAAAGGCCACAATGGCCAAGATGATGGCCAGCCTGGCCATGGAAAGGGCCAAGGAGGTCACTACAAAGGCCAACAAGGCCAGATGGACGGTCAGCCTGACCAGAAAGGAAAGGGCACTGGCAAGGTGTCTGAACGTGGTAGGGTGGCAATGTTGAGCCCTACAACTTCAGCCATTTGGGCTGGAGCAGAACCTCAACCGCTTGGACCAGTTCAACAACGTGGACAAGCAGCAATGGGAACAAGAGTGATGAGGGGCAGTCGCTTTGGGTTTGAGTACGTGCCGATCCGCAACTACGATCCAGGTCTTCGAGAACCAGAACCACAAGAGCGACCTCCAAGACCACCAGCGCAGCAGGTGGATGACACGCAGTCTGATGGGAGCTACGAGTTGGTTTCAGAGGCTGTGGATGAGGAGCAGCCCCTACAGACTGAAAGGCAAGTGCAGTTGGAGGGCAAGCACAGTGCAATGGCTATGCCCCCACCAGGTGGAGATGGAGATGATCCTGGCCGAGATCGTCGAAATCGACGAGAACCAGAACGAGACCATGGGCCGGATCCTCCAGCGGATGATGAAGATGAAGATGAAGAAGAAAGTCCACGCAGGACATGCACAACCCTGGATGTCAAGAGGCAAAGAATGGCTTGGGCGCGACCCCCTGGATACTGGTTTCGGGGACGTGGCAGAGGCACCAAGCAGGATGTGGAGACGGGCAAGGATGGGTCGACGATCATTCACGGGGTGTTGAGTCCGAACCTTTCCTGGCAACGGATCTTCGCGAAGGGCTGTCGACCTCGCCAGCTCTTCACACATGACCAAGGAGGAAAAAGTTCAGCACAGGCAGCTCCGGTGCTGATGGGGCGTGGCGATACGCCGGCTGAACAGAGGAGAAACATCCTCCTGGCGACGGCCAATGCAAAGGCGGTCCAGGCGTTGCGCACCGCCGACCATGTGAATGTCACCAGCGGGGACTCCAATGAAGTGGCTCTGGCGGTGGAGGCAGCGACAGCAGCGGTGGACTACGCTGCGGATGTGCAGGAGATGACGGAAAGCGGCACCACCCCAGACCAAGCTGGCAGCAGCAGCAGCCGAAGTCGCACCTCTGTTGCACGGCTTGGAAAGGGCAAACCAGCCACAACTGGTGAGCTGCGAGCTCACTACGCAGCAAAGGGCAAGGCGAAGGGCAGTGAAGCCTTGGAGCCTGTGGCAGATGGTTTGCATGAAGATGACAGCGAGACGGCGGAGGAAGAGGTCTCTGAGAATGACATGGAGGTCATCCCTGAAGAGGACGAGGGCGACGATGGAGATGATGGTGGAGGTGATGATGGTGGAGCCGAAGGGCCTGCAACAGACCCACCAACAGCTACCACAGCAACTGAGGTGGCAATCACTTCGACCACTGCGGGTGACCCAGCGAATGTTGAGGAGGAGATCAACGTAGAGCCAGAGAATGTTGAAGAAGAGGTCCATGTGGAACAGGACACAGAGGTTGAAGATGCGCGCCTTTCAAGGGTGGTGCGCAACGACCCGGAGCATGAGATGGCGCCGAGGGTCCCAGGAAGTTTGGGGCAACAGATGCGGCAAAATGCAGGTTTGGGGATGGCACCAGCAAATTCAGCGCAGCATGTGCAACAAGTGGTCACAGCGTTGATGCAGGGCCAGACCATTCCCTTGACGTATGGGCGATGGGTCCAGTGGGATCAGACCAGTTGGGTTGGATCCATGCAGACCTACAGATATGGTGTGCTCAATGGCTTGCAGGTTGAGATGGACTTCGCGCAGGTGGGCTTGATGCTTCGCCGGCCAGTGGTTCCTGGGGTGACGCATTCGCTTGCGCTCCAAGGAAATGTGGTGGCTGTGCCGAAGAATGGGCTGACCAGAGAGAGCACAGAGGAGGAGGCTGACCCAGGAGTTCCTTTTGAGCATGGTATGGTTCAGCCTGGCAAAAAGCCTCCCCCTGCAGCTTGGTTTCAGCGACAGAACATGGAGGAGTGGATGAACCGCATGGCCAAACCACCAGCAGTTCCAGCACAACATGCAATGCCAGGTCCACCACCAAGGGGCCCACCACCTCAAGTGAGAGCGGGACCACCTCCCATGGGTCCACCTCCAGCTAAGGTGATGCCGAGGGCAGCTCCGAACTATGTGCCTGGACCTCCACAAGGGCAACCACCAATGGCTGCGCCGATGCAGCAAAGACCACAAGGTCCGGCAGGATATGGTGGTGATCAAGGTGGCAGTCTGCAGCCACCACAACAGCAGATGATGGGAAACCCTGGTCAGAGGGCGACGTTGTCCCATATGTTGCGGATGACTGGTGAACTTCGAGCAGAACGAGGAGTTCAACCAGCCAAAGCTGCAGCGGACTTGGGTCTGCGACCGGTGTTGCGTCCGCCAACGACAACATCGAAAGCTGCAGCGAGTTCCACAAATGTTTATGTGGAGCGCCGTGAAGAGGCTGCCGATAGGGTTACGGTGAGATCCTGTCAGTGACTTCGAGCTCTACGGCATGATCCAGGTGGAGCGCAATTTTGAAAAGATGCTCTTTTGAGAGCCGGACATTTTTTCTTTGGCAGGGTCTTTACTGCCAACAAGTCAGCTGAGGCATGAGTCTTTACGTGCCGAGGTTGATTCCAAAGGGTGCAAGTCTTTATGCACCATAGTGATTTTAAGACCAGTGGGGCCTAACAACAACCTGGCATCACTGGCAAATCCAACTTTAAGAGCCTTGAGCCCTTAGTTGATCCTGAAAGAGCCTCCCGGCAGAAGCCCCTTTTAAACACGACAAAGTCGTGGGGGGAGTGCAAAAGGGTTCATGTGCATGCATGTACAACTGGACAGATGTAGGATCAGCTCTTATCACTGATGGACAGGTGAAGTATCTGTTCTTATCAGTGCAACAACCTGACAACCTGCGTGTGATTGCGCAGGCTCTTAATGGATCAAAAGTCGCGCTGCTCTGCCTTGCACACATGGAAATTGGGGTGATGAATGGGAGAATAATTAGTGGATGGTATATGGGGATAATATGATATATATATATATGTATATTATAATATATGATTTATTACTCATGGTATGCCTATGTAGATACGTAATTACATACATACATATATATATATTTTTATGGCGAACCCAATAACATGTATATATATATATATGATATTTTAAATCCCAGTGTAGATTTATACTATTATATTCCCACCAGTAAGGGGGACTAAAACTTTAAGTGATTAAACATATCTGTAACCATAATGATGATTATGAAAACCATTATCATGATTAATGGTGATTATGACAACCATTATGATGATGATTATGATACTGTAACCGTCATAATGATGATCATATCCCTTAATATGTTAAACCATAACTCCGATATATCTGAAGCAGATCATCTGATACAATGGTGATATACGGAATATAATAATCAATGCTGGTGATTTTGAATAATGGGGATTACCCTGTGGATTATGGGGTGATATCTGGTGACAACTCATCAATATATACCACGAGTAATGTCTATAAATTATGAATCACAATTATGGTATTTTTCATGGTCAATGATATGTTTCATCAATGAATTAATGATATTAATTAATGATGATAACTGATGAACGTATACTAGGATGATCCTCCAAGCGCCTGGGGATATCTGGAAAGGTGATTTTCACCGCCGTCGCCGGGGATAGGGATTTTCATGGGATACTGCAAGGGAGGGAATCTTCACATGAAATGCTAATGGGATGGGATTTTAGTAAGAAACCATGGAGAACTTGGGATGGAATGAAAATTATCTCCATGTTTTCGTGGTCAAATCTCAAAAAAGTATCCATAAACATACCCCACATACAGTGTCAGAAGGTGTTTGGAGCTGTAACCATGGGGATATTAGGGATATTGGGGAAACCTTGGGGAAGAATTGTGATTTAACCAATATCTAGAAATTGGAAAAGCTGACGCGGCTGATACTTTCTTTGAAAATGATCCCGATGGACCTATTAACTCAAGGCTCACTATTGTTGTATTTTTAAGTCGGGATAAATCTGGGATTGATCATGAGGATACAGTAAGTTCAGGATATTAAAAAGTATTACGCCCAGATTCGTCACACATGGGATTCCGACAGTTTTTGGTGATGATAAGTGATAAGAATCATTACGCTAATGGAGATAATAATACATTATAAATTATAATGATTGTCATGATGGGAAGGCGGATACTTGGAATGGTTGGGACGCCATAATTTTATGATTTATTGACAGAATCATCATCATCATCATCATCCCCGACAAAATACAGGCTATGGACATCTATGACTATATCTCTCTTCTTCCGGAAGTTTTTTTCAGCTAACAGCCAAACAGACATGCGAAGAAACATCTAAGATGGCACCAGAATTCCAAGTGTCACGCAGGCAAGCAGCTGAGCCTCACATCGAACACAAAGAAAGACGAAAGTCGTGAAAAGCACCCTGCCAATGAGAACGACGATGACACTCATCCTGGTCCTTCTGATCACATCCCCTTCATGTTTTCTTGTAGCACCAGCATCTCAGGGTCGATCCCCAAGTCACTCGGCCGGCTCCAAGGCGATGTGCATAACTTTGCCACAAGGCGAATCGGACCATTTCGGGGACGGCAGTTTTGGGTTTCGGAAAAAGGGATGGGAACGACTTTGGGGCCCATCAACCCATGGACTTTGATCATTCGGACACACACAATATATATATATAATATGATATGTTATGATATGATATGATATGATACAATATAATCTAACAATATATTATATCATATTATATATATATACACAATAATACAATATATATACGTATATATATATAAACATGTATATATATATATACATCTGTAAATATATATATATGTGTGTAAGCGTTCCATTGAATCTGGGTGACCCACTTTTGATTCACAACCGTGTTTTCAACAGATATGCGCATCCTTGTCCGTGCATTCTCGTCGTGTGGACAACCTTCTTGCTGGTCAGGGGGCGGACTCTATCGGGTGATCCTGGCAAATCTGGGAGATAGTCGCGCCTTGCTCTATCGACCTCGAGGCGCGGTGACTTATGGCAGTTCTAATGAGGAAAAGGATGATTCACCAGTGGCTTTGGGGGCATACCCTATTTTCAGACCTGTAAAACGCACTTATTCCTGAGGTTATGCTAAATTTGCTAAATGCACAAGTAGTTTTACTAGTCAGTTACTAGTTGGGATGGTCTATGCGCTTTTGTTGTGTCTCTTTTGTTTGTTGCAATCTTCCGTAATTCACTGGATGTGTTGATCGACATCTCCGTTTCTTTTGTTTGGCTGTCCATTCTCTTTCCAGCGAAATTGGTACGTGTTGCTACTGTATAGATACCTTCCCCACCTTCCGCCCGGACCAAAATCTGCTCGCAGGGGATTTGGAACATTTAGTTTCCACGAGGGATCACAAACCCGACGTCCCGTCTGAGAAGAAACGCATCCGAGCGGCAGGCAATGGCACCGGGGGGTGGTTGGTGACCATGTTGGCTGATGATGATTCTGGTATGACCTTGAAATATGTGTAAACATTGCTATATATATATATATATCTCTCTCTATATATATATACACACATTATTTCGGAGACTCAGCAATAAACATAATGTTCGATGAACAAAAACACATGTATTTTGGACATGTTGATGGTTGGTTGGATGAGGTGGTACGACTTGTAGGATTTCACCGGGAATTTGCCTCCATAGATGATTGGAAACCTGAATGCCCACCGTTACACCATCATGAGGGTATTTGAGGGTATATATATCATATGAGTCTATCGGATTTGGCATGTTGAATCCCCATTTAAATTTAGTAGTTGTTTAAATCACCCATCACCCCTTTGTGTTGAGGATTTTTCTATTTTCAGTCTCTTTAATCACCAACTTTTGTTGAGCAATGTTCAATCTGTTATAGTTTATACTGTATCCATTGTACCCATGTAATTATTGTTGAATTAGCCAGCATGTTTTATTAATGGATGTCACCAGTCCTTAACCCATCTTCCAGAAAACTCTCAAGTCTTCAGTGAGTACAAAACCTGAATAAAAGCTCTAAAGATGCTAAAACCATTCGGTTTCGGGTTGAACAATGAACCTAGACTCCAAGTACCTCCAAAAATAGGCCAACATGCACATTATTTTGGACTTTTACAATCTGTTGCCAATGTTTGATAGGGGGAAATGATGGAAAATGGTTCCTTGGAGGGTCCAAGGACTCACTTTCCTTGTTCCCGTTCCTTGGACCATCTCTTCCTCGCGGCCTCAGGTGGCTATGTGGTCCCTGGCGACGATGCCCAGCCGGCGCGAGTCGATGCGGTGCTGGCCACGAGTCGAGCCTTTGGCAACTTTCGCTTCAAAGATGCGGCGCAGACGCCAGGTGGGGCGTGGTTGGGATATGTTGGGATGGGGCTGGGGATTAAGAAGCAACAAACATGGGATTTATTGGGGATTCATGTGACCCATAATTGGGATACCTATTTACAAGGTGTTTTCCCACGGTGGAATTGCTAGGTAAACTGTTGGGTGGTGATGAAAATCGCTTATAGTTAATAAGGGTTATGAGCCAGCACTCATAACCAGGGACACCACCCTCTGGAGATTGGTGTTTTAAAAGGCAAGCATGGCTCTTTCCATAGACGCACGATGAGCAATTTACGAACTAAAGAATTTCCCACAAGTAGTTGTTACCCTCCAGTAGTCAAAGTTGCTAAGAGACATTTTCCAATGCACATCATTCACGTTTTTTTTTTCCCATGAACAATTGTGATGTTCCATTGCCATAGAAAGGATTCTGGGAAAAATTGCCCAACTTTTTAGATGTTCTTTCCCTGGATTCTTTTGGATTCTGGCACCATTTGAGGATTTTTTGCAGGTCCATAATTATAAACTTGAACAAAATCCAGACATCCAAAATCTTTGGTCAATCCCCATGTTGAGTAATATCCCTGTGGTGATTGATGTTTGTTGATTCCATGCCATAGTTTTCTTACGTCCTAATTGTTTTTGTCGAGGTTAAACTGGTGAAACTCCACCGTTTTTGCCCATTCATATATCCTTTTCTCATTGGTTGATTTTGATGAGGTCGCCATGAAAAAAACCTGTTCAGTGATTTTTCAAATTTCAGATTGGTTTGCAGGGATTTAGAACATCAGGAAGTCCCAAATAGTAAAAACCGATGGTAAAAACCAATGATTTCTGGATATTTCCGGTGAAGATTTTCCTGAACCAATCCTGAACCCAGCCCTCGCCAGGGACGAGGAAGGTGATTTCGGTCCCCGACGTCTCCGTCTTCGAGGCCCAAGCGGGTGACGTGCTTGTGCCACTTGGCACCAACGGCGCCACGGGGTAACGGTGGGAAACGTGGGGAAAGCAGAAAATGGTGGAGGAAAAGGATGGAAAAAATCGGGAGGGAGAGGAGAACATGCCTGATGTTTGGTCGATTTTTTCTGAAGATCAATGGTGAAGATGGATGATGGCGGACTTGAAAAAGGGGGTTTTGAGCAGCGCGAGTGTGGATTTGAGTTGAAGAAACGGGGATATAAATCAAATTGTGAAAATCCAGCCTGAAGTGAAAGTTCCTCAGTCACACTATATTGGAAGATATTGGTACACTGTATCTGGTTTATTTGGTTGCATGGGATTAGTTTGGCTCCACAGATTGAGGAACATCTGGGTAAATGGGTACATTGTGACGATCTCACTGCAACATCACTGGAATGATGGTTGGAAGGAGCCTTCAGTGAATTACTGCAATTTACCCAGATAAGTAATTGTTATAACATTCAATGTTCAGACACTCTGGAGTTGGAGTGTGTTGGAGTGATAAGGATATGTGATTTGAATATAGTTGAATACATTGATGACATAGATTTGATTGGACAAACAATGATCATGAGATCAATACTGTATTGATTGATATATATATATATACAGATATTGTTCAAACATATTTATACTCAGATTCATGGATAATCATGCATAATATATCATCATCATCATAATCATCATAATCATCATCATCAACATCATCATAACCATCATCACCATAATCATCATCATCATCATAATCATAATAATCATCATCATCATAACCATCATCATCATCATAATCATCATCATCATCATCATCATCATCATCATCATAATCATCATCATAATCATCATCATCATAATCATCATCATCATAATCATCATCATCATAATCATCATCATCATCATAACCATCATCATCATAATCATCATCATCATCATAATCATAATCATCATCATCATAACCATCATAACCATCATCATCATCATCATCACAATCATCATCATCATAATCATCATCATAATCATCATCATCATAATCATCATCATCATAATCATCATCATCATCATAATCATCATCATCATCATCATCATAACCATCATCATCATCATCATAATCATCATCATCATAATCATAACCATCATCATCATCATAACCATCATCATCATCATAATCATCATCATCATCATAATCATAATCATAATCATCATCATCATCATAATCATCATCATCATCATAATCATCATCATCATCACCATCATCATCATCATAATCATCATAATCATATATATATATATATACACACCCTTTACTACACACATGACATGGTGAGGTTGGCCACCGACGGCGTCTTGGACGTGCTGAGCAGCTCGGAGGTCGGTGGTGAAGGGCCCATAGGTTGATGGGTTGATGGGGAGATAACTCGGGGATTTCGTGGATATAATGGGGATATAACTAGGTGATACTAAGCATTTTATGGGGATATAACTGATATAACTGATATAACATCTACTTCTATGTGAATTTCGGTGTAGTACTTCTATCTTTACGAACTTAATTACAGTTTTAGACATGTTTTGATGGGATCCAGATCAGCAACAAAGTCATACGACATCTGATTTTTGGTGTAGTACCTCTATCTCTGACGAAAAAAGGGGACTATAACGACAATATTGCCACAATGATGAGTGTAAGAATGTGTAATCAATGGCATTCTAATAGATGTAAGGGGGGATCTACAATGCCACCAACTATCCTCAACAGGAGTACATTTCTGACTTCGGATATTTACTGGATAAAGCAGCCATCAGCATCTTTATGTGATTTTCGTTTATTTTGTCCCACTATATCCCCATTGTATCCCACTATATATCCCATTATATCCCATTATATCCCATTATGTTGTTTAAACATATATATATACACACTCATTGATAATTGATGATAATTGCATAATGGGTAGATGCAGGTCATTCATGATTATATACAAACGGGAATTACCCTCTGGTAAACAAACATAGCTATTGAAAATGGCCATAGAAATAGTTGATTTTCCCATTGAAAATGGTGATTTTCCATAGTTATGTTACTTTACCAGAGGTTAAACCTCCATTAATCACCATTAGATCCCATTAAACCACCATAAAATACCATTAAATCACCATTAATCACCAAGTTGATTTACCAATTGTTATGACATATCCCCATGATCTCACCATAAAAAAACGCGGCGCGCCCTTTCGACCGGTCGACAGGTCATCACATTGGCGGTGAAGGGTCTGAAACCTGCAGGTTACCTCCAGCTGGGATTTAGGTCATGTCTTGGATGCTGGGGGACACTGATCATTTACCCTCAGGATATTTAACATAGCCATGGGAAATGGCCCATTTATAGAGGTTTACCCATTAAAAATGGTGATTTTCCATGGCTATGTTAAATAACCAGATGGTATAACCCATGGAATATTCCATATAATTCAGTATATTTCCATATAATTAAGCATATAATATCATATAACTCCAAATAATTACTTCCAGTTCATTCCAGGGAGTAAGCCAGGGCTCTTTAATGACTTTAACGATGATGAAAGGGATGGATTTCATGAAGCATGGTGATTGACCATAGTTCGATGGTGATGAACCATACTTAAATCGACCATCACCGATGGAACAAGGAGATTAATGGTGATTAACCATAGTTCGATGGTGATTGCAACTATAGTTGATCTGTTCATTGGTTGCTTTCGGTTGATTTGTGCTTGCAAATCCTGAATGAACGGGATAGCAATTTACGAACCAGTATTTCATTGGATAGGATACCCTCTGGTAAACAAGCATAGCTATATGCTATTGAAAATGGCCCAGTCGAAATAGTTGATTTACCCATTGAAAATGGTGATTTTCCATAGTTTTTTGTATGTTTACCAGAGGGTAATGGTGTTTTTCATGGCCCATGTGGGGCTCCCATGACCATGGGGATTTCACCAGCAGCGATCAGGTTTCATCCACCAAACAACGGTGTCAAATAGCTTAGATAAATGATAACCAGCCCACCAAAAAGGTTCATGACAGCCACAACAGGGGTAAAGTTGCGTCGAAATTCGGAAAGCAACTTTATGTTTGGACATATTTACCCAATTTCCACCCCTTGTATTTGGGGTATTGAGTCAATGGCGAAGTCCTTTTTCTTCACCTCGAAGAACTGCGAGAACATTGTGAACTATTCACCCAAAATGGTAATTAAACCAACACACCATTGGAGGTTCATCAACCAGAAATGGTGATTTAACGAAGACAATGAGAATTTATGGATTTACAGTTGATTTAGGATGGGTAAGTTGGTTTATTTGCCTTGCTAACTGGCCTTTACTTCATGTGTTTTTTTTTTTTTTAAGATATTATGTTGGATGGGTGAAACAAAACCCAAGATACAACTAGATTTTTTCCCAGGTTTCCCAGGCGACTTGCCCTTGGAGTGGAGAAGAATTGGGGTGTTCACCAAAAGTGAGCTTAGAAAATCAAAGAAGGTTGCACAGTTGCACATAGGAGCATCACATCCATCCAAATCATAGAATCGATCCGAAAATTACAAGGCTTTATAGGGTGAAGAAAAATGTCAAGGAACACCACCAAAGTTGCAGGGACAAACCACTGATTTCCTGCAACATGTTCTTCAAACCAATCCAATGATCGTATATATATATAGAGTGTTTTTCTTGGATCTAGACTCTGATTAAGAATCTGATTCACCATCTTAAATTTTAGCCGAATGTCATATTTTTTGGTTAATGCCATAATCTGTGATCATGAAAAAAGCATCTTTTAATACTTAGCCACCATTTTACAGTAAACAAGGGGTCGCATAATCCCCTATATACTACCCAATATACTCTGATGATCAACAATGAATATTCCTCTGACATCCCCTTTATACTACCTTATATCCTCTGATATAATTACAGGGTATATATATATATGATAATAGCCTATTTATACAATGACATATCCT